GGGAGGCGCATGTGGAACAGCCCATCCTGCCAGCTGGTGCCCAGGGCAGTGTCCACTGAGCAGCCCCAGCGGCCCCCAGGCCAGGTGTCACCCGCCTCCCTGCGCCCTGGAGAGTGGCAGGAGGATGGGGGTCTCTGGGCTGGGGGTCGGGTGGGACAGAGGGAACAGGGGTGGGGGGTGAGGGGAGCACCCCGTGTCCCGCAGGGTCCCTGGTCCAGAGGCGGCTCCAGGGCTTCCTGTCCCACCAGGGGGGGCGTGCATGTGGTTCTGGAAATGTTGGGGGGGAGGGCGTGGGAGAGCACGTGGGAATGTGCTGATCCGGCACAGGCCAACCCAGGTGCCAGCCCGGCACCAAGCAGGGTCCTGAGTCCCGCCGGGAGTGAGGTTCAGAGCACAGAGAAGGAAGTGGGGGCTAGAAGGACCCGTCAGCAGGGCGGGTGGGGACAGGGCCTCCAGCTGTGTCCCCGTGGCCTGACGGGCTCTGGCCTTGTGGCCTTTGGCTTCAGTTCTTTTTTTTTCTTTTCTTTCTGGGTCACACCCGGTGGTGCTTAGGGGTTCCTCCTGGCTCTGCACTCAGGAATCACTCTTGGCGGTGCTCGGGGGACCAGATGGGATGCTGGGAATCGAACCCGGGTCGGCTGCGTGCAAGGCGAACGCCCTCCCCGCTGTGTTCTCGCTCTAGCTCATGGTTTCAGTTCTGGCCGGGAAGAATCCCCAGAGAACCCTGAGGTTTCTAGAGTGGGAGCCCCAGCCGCCACTCCGAGGGGAAAGGGCTTTGGTAGATGGACTTTGGCCGTGTGTCGATGAACTTGGCACCACGGCTGGGTCTGACCCACCCGGTGAGGCCTGGACACGTGCGCTGCCATGTCGTGAGAACCACAGGAGGAATGGAACCCAGTTGCGGGCTCGGAGGGGGACCCTGAGCCCTGGTTGAGGGCCTGTCACCCAGACGAGCCTCAAGAACGGTTGAGCAGGAAACTCCCTACACTGGGCCGCGCTGCTGACTCAGGCAGCAGGAGGGCCGAAGGGCCAAGCCCCCGAGCTGGGGGTAACCGTGACGCAGCAGGAGGAAACGAAGGTGGGCGCCAGGCCCTCGGCATCCAAGAACCATCCTGTGGTGACAGGCTGGGCCACAAGCTGTGACGCTGACTGAAGCTTTCTTCTGTTTGGTTCTGCTCTGTTTGGGCCACTCTCATCACTGTGGAGGCTGGGGAGAGAATATAGCGGGGAGGGTGTCTGCCTTCCCATGGCAGACCCGGGTTTCAGCGCCAGCATCCTAAACGGTCCCCTGAGCACCGCCAGGAGTAATTCCTGAGCACAGAGCCAGGAGTAACCCTGAGCATCACCGGGTGTGGCCCCCAAACAAACAAAACCCCCAAACTATGCTGAGGGCTGACTGCTGGCTCTGCGCTCAGGGCTGACTCCCGGCTCTGTGCTCAGGGCTGACTCCCGGCTCTGCGCTCAGGGCTGACTCCCGGCTCTGTGCTCAGGGCTGACTCCCGGCTCTGTGCTCAGGGCTGACTCCCGGCTCTGCGCTCAGGGCTGACTCCCGGCTCTGTGCTCAGGGCTGACTCCCGGCTCTGTGCTCAGGGCTGACTCCCGGCTCTGTGCTCAGGCCTGACTCCCGGCTCTGTGCTCAGGGATCACTCCCGGCTCTGTGCTCAGGGATCACTCCCGGCTGGGACTGAACTTGAGTCTGCCACATGCCCCTTAGCGCCCACACTCTCTGGCACAGACTGCTGAATTCTGACCCCGTACACGCGACCTGAGTAACGACTCTGGTCTCAGACCCCCCAGCGCTAGCTGTGGCCGTGCAGGGGTGGGCAGCTAGGTGGGGTCCACACGATACTTCAGTGTCTCTGCAGCGTGGCAGAAGCCGCACAATCCCACCCGCTCATGCTCCTCTATACGCCCACACAGCAGAGGTCTGACCCGTGCCCCTGCAGCCTGGGCGGGGGGTGGGCTTGAGTCCAGGCTCCGGGCACTGTCCGTGCGGATGGACGCCTCCCTGACCCTCCGTGTCTGCGACACGGGACACAAACGGAGGTGGGAGTGGACAGACGAGTGAGCGCACGAGAGAACATACAAGTCAACTCATGAGCCGGCGCATGAGTGAACACACGAGTCAGAGCATGAACACGGAGTCTACGGCCATATCACCCTGAACGTGCCCGATCTCGTCTGATCTCGGAAGCTAAGCAGGGTTGGGCCTGGTTAGTACCTGGAGGGAGAGCATGAACACGGAAGTCAGAGCATGAACACGGAAGTCAGAGCATGAACACGGGGGTCAGAATGAACACAGGAGTCAGAGCATGGACACATGAGTTGGAGCCCGTGTGAGCACACACACGGGAAGTGAATGCACGCGTGACCGCGAGTGAGCCCAGAGACCGCGTGAGTGGCCGCGTGCAGTCAGAGCTCCTGGCTCCGGCCGGGGCTTCGCTGCGGGAAGGGCTCGCAGGGCCGGGTCTGCCGATGGCTCCCGAGGCCGCTCTTGGGGCTCTTTTTCACCCCAACCGTGGACCTTCCAAAGCCCGTTACAGGGAGGGAGGGCCTGACGGGCCATCTGCTCTCCTGTCTGGGAGCAGGAACAAAAACCGGGGCCTGCAGGGACCGGGCCGGAGGCTTGCCAGGCCCGGCTGCGGCTGCTTGGGCTAGGGGCGGGGCTCGGTGCCGGGGGGCCGGGCACGCTGACCATCCAGGGGGGAACTTGGGGGGATTTCAGAGCAGAAATGCCCCAGGGGTTGGTCCCTGGCTGCACAGCGGGGAGCGGCCTGAGCAGCTGTAGCTGCAACATGTGTGTGTGTGTGTGTGAGTGCGAGTGTGTATGTTTCTGTGTTTGTGTATGTGTATTTGAGTGGGTGTGTGTGTGTATGTGCAGAGACGGGGTGCCAGTCGCCGTGGCCCACCCAGGGCTCAAAGTGGGGACCCACAGCCGCTCTCTGCATCCCAAATTCTCTGCATTGGTCAGTGCTGGCCCTGGTCCAGCGCGGCTTGAAAGCGGAGGGTGGACCCCCCCCCCGCCGCCAGGCTTGTGCTTCTTTCTGGGGCCTCTTTTATTGGGATGACTGAATCTTTCAACTATGTTCGCAGTAAACACAGCTAATTTACCCCCTGCCTGTCCCGAGCAGCTGCTGACACAGCCGCGCTCTGATTCAGTCAAGGGTCCGCGGGGCGGGAACTCCCAGACGCCCGTTGTCGCCGTCCGTCCCCCACAGCTGCGCGGCCTCCCCAGGGCCGGGATGACAAACAGCGGGGGTGCGGGGGCCAAGGCACGCAGGGCGCCCCGAGGTCCAGGGGCAACAACACACAGGCGGACGCAGGCCGGGAAGCCCAGTCCCGTGTCCTTGCGAGCGGCCAGGCCGGACCCTTTCACTGCGGCTAATTTGTCCAGAGTGTCCGAGAGGTCGCCCGAGCATGGCCACCAGCCCGTCCGCAGTGTTAGGTGCTAAGAAGCAGGTCCCGGGGGCAGGGGTGCAGAGGGCGCTCAGCCTGTGAGGCCGCTCCCCAAGCAGGTGGAACGGACGGGGGCTCCTGGGGGCCGGCCGGGGCAGGGACAGGAGGGACTGGGCATGGACCCCGGCACAGATCTGCTGGGAGACAGAGCACCACAGGGAACAGCACCCTGGCCGGGACGGGTGGAGACTGCAGCCCAAGCTAGCGAAGAAGAAAAAGAAAACGGCCTCACCTTGCCGAGGCCGGACACACTGCACCAGCCAGGGTGGCATAGACCTTGGGTGGCAGCTGGAGGTGGGGGGAGCCCCCGGGGACCGCGGCCATGGAGAGGCTCATGCCCAGCTCCCCGCAGCCCCCCAGTTGGGCTTTTGGTGACTCTGTCACCTCAGACGCTTCTAGGTGCCTGTGCCACCACGCCCCCCCTCCCCAGTGTCTTTCCTGGACTTCGAGGAACTGGGGCTTCTGCCGAACCCAGCGGGTTCCGCCCACACAGGCAGCCCCGGGGAGTCGGGCGGGGACCTCATCCGGTGTGAGGCTCTTCTCAAAGCCCCAGGGGGCTGCCGGTCTCCGGGTGCTGGGCCATCGTGGCCAGAGCTGGGGGCTGGCGCTCAGGGCCACCCACCGGGCTCCTTAGGTACTGGGTGCTGCAGGGTCTATGGCTGCTCACCTGCCCAGGAGGCAGGCAGGAACAAGCTCTTCCTTCTCCACCAGCAGACCCCCTCCCGCTCCCCCTCCCTCCCTCCACCGCTCCCCTCCTCTCTTCACCCCTCCCCTCCTCCCTCCACGCCCCTTCCCTCTTCCTTCCACCCCTTTATCCTCCTCTCCCCACCCCTCCCTTTCTCCCCCCACCCTCCTCCCATCCTCCCCCCACCCCTCCCCTCTCCTCCCCCCACCCCTCCCCTCCCCTCTCCACCCCTCTCCCCTCCAGGCCAAAGCCGGAAGGGGCAGCTCTGTAAACAGTGGGGCTCCGAAAGCCTCAGAAAGAAACAGGAGTGGGAGGGGAGGGGAGGGGAGGGGAGGGGAGGGGAGGGGAGGGGAGGGGAGGGATGAAGGTCCCTCTCCGCTGGCCACAGCTTCTGTTTACGAAGTCAGAGTAAACCAAGCAAGGGGGGATAAACTGTTTAGGGGAAGAGATGCGTAACATCCTAACCGTGTTCATTCATCCGTTTTATTGTGACATTTATTACAGGAATTCCCACGCCGGGGTCCTCCGCAGGCAGTGCCCACCCCTGTCCGTGCCCGCTTCCTCCTGGGGGTGGCGGCCTGGCTGGGGTGGGGGGAGGCCCAGCACCCGCCCGGGACGCACCGGAGCCTGGCGGGACCTCGCGGCTGGGCTGTGAGCGAGCCCGGCCCTCTGCGGATTTGCTCCCGTTAGGTCCTGCCCGTGGCGGTCCGAGGGGTCTCCTCCGAGGGGGCCACGACGGAAAGCCCTTGGCCGCCCCGTTCCTAACGCCCCTGACCTTCGGGCTGGGCAGGGGCGGGACAGTCTGGAGCCGGCGCCCGGCAAACGGGGAGCGCAGGGCTGGGGGGCCCGGCCTGGGGGGCTAGTGGCAGCCGCACGCCCGCACCACCATGTTGCGGTACTTCTTCAGGATGACGTTGGAGCTGTCGTCGAAGTACAGGACCGAGATGGCGTTGAGCTGCGTCGGCGCACAGCAGGGCTTGGGCACCGTCTCGGGGTTGATGAAATGCACCTGGAACGGGGCAGCGGGCGTGAGGGTGGTGGCGACGCTCCCGCCCTGCGTCCAGGGGCCCCCAGGCCCCCACCACCAACCACGTCTCAGCCCACACAGCCCCTCTGCGAAGGAGCTGGAGCAGAGGGCGGCGGCTTATGGCCAGGGACTGCGGCCACTTCAGACACTTGCCAGAAGGCGTCCACACACCCTGGGGGCGGGGGGTCACCCTGGGCACTGTGATCTTACCCCAAAGAAGCCACAAATACTGCCCAGGCCCCCTTGTTGCGAAACCTCCCAAACCACCGACACTGTGGACATTCTGGGGGAGACCCAGGAGTCTCCAGGTCCTCCCCCAAGTCTGCTCTCTGGAATAAAAGCTTTATTAGCACCTGGCCCCACCCAATCATTTGCATATGGTCACTGTAACAGTCTGGTCACTGCAACAGTGTCTGAGTCTGAACTCAGACCATATCCTCTCCCTTCCGAAAGGGTGCTGACCGTGGTGCCCCTGCCCTGTCTAAGAAAAAAAAAATGTCATCAATGCCACTTAGAAAGCTCTAGTGGCCCCTTTTTCAAGATGGAAAAGAAGCAGGTGATGTTCACTTAAATAATGCAGTTACTGTAACCAGTATCTCAGGAAGTATTATCAGGTCAACATCGGCATCACTACCAAAAACGGCCTGGGGACAGCTAGGCCTGGCCGAGGGACAGCCTGTGAAGAGCCCAGGTTTGAGGCTCCGGGTTTGAGCCCCAACCACACACAAAAATAAAAAGAGGAATTAGGAGGGAGATGCTTGGCTTTCCGTTTTTCTTGGTATGAAATCACCCCCCTGCCTGTGTTTGGTATTTCCAGGACATCTCTCGGGGACCCAGCAGGGAGAGGCAGGCCGTACTGGGCAGCTCGTCCACCCTCTGCCTTTTGTCCTTCCTGAGCAATAATAGAGGCGGAGGGAATGTCCGGGCAAGCGCCCGGCTGGACAAGCCCAGGCAGGAGGGAGGGAGCGAAGCCGGCCCGAGGCTCCGGGGATCCCAGTGGCTGACACTGGCCTGGGGTGACGACAGGGCCCACAAGGGCTAATCAGCCAACCACGGGGAGAGGACACGGGCAGCTGCCCTCAACAGCCCAGGCCGGGCAATGGGGGCGACTCGAATAATTATCCCGTGAAACCTGCAGGGTGAAGAGAGCAGGTGGGGGGCTGGGGGTGAGGGCAGTGGCCACCCGACTCTCAGAGAGAGCTGATGCTTCCTTGGCTTCTGGACAGTGGCCAGCTTCGGACCGTTCCCAACAAACCCGCCCCCGGCTCTTCTCTGCTGGCACAGTTTGAAGGCCAACACGTCCTGCGTCTCACCAGAAGGTTCTGGAAGGCCAGGGCCCGCTCCCTTGGCACGTGTGGACCTGGACCCTCATTTCCCATGGCTGCAGGAACCATTCCGGTCCAGGGGCCTCCGGCCCGGTGCAGCGTTGGGGGGGGGGGGGTGAGCCCGGATCCACCAGCCTTGAGTCCAGGGGCCGTGAGGGCTGCGGCTGGTGGGGGCAGGGGGGCCCGAGAGCCCGGAGACCCCTCACACCTTGGGCTCCTCTGAGCAGGGCCCGAGGGACAGGCCAGGGCTTGGTCGAGGCCTGAGTGTGCAGGTGGACACGGGGTGAGCCGAGAGGGAGGCTGGACTCTCCCTCTGAGGCACAAGGGCAGGCCCAGAGGAGTGAGCGTGCTGGCGGAGGGCACCCAGCGCTGGCACGAAAGGGCAATGCCGCAGGCTCAGGCGGGGGATTGGGTGAGCTCACAGCCAGCTGCTGGGTGACCTTCTGTCGGAGAAGACCCCCCAAGGGTCACAGTGGGTGGGAGCTGGTTAACACGGTGCTGAGCCCCGGACCCTAAGTTAAAGAATGAAGGCCCGGGGTCGGAGCGATAGCACAGCGGGGAGGGCATTTGCCTTGCATGCGGCGGACCCGAGTTCGATTCCCAGCAACCCATAGGGTCCCCCGAGCACCACCAGGAGTAATTTCTGAGGGCAGAGCCAGGAGGAACCCCTGTGCATTGCTGGGTGTGACCCAAAAAGCAAAAGCAAAAAAAAAATAAAAATAAAAAAGGAATGAAGGCCGAGCCCTGATCACGGCTGGTGGCAGATCAGACATGGCCCACGGTCCCCCCCCCACCCCCGACGCTGGGCACTGTGGTCAGTCTGCGTCTCACAACCACACTGCAGAGTGGAGAAAGCCCCTGGCACCCAGCCCTGCTTCCTGGCCCCGCGTCCTGTTTGCTGCGTCCCGACACAGCCCCTCTCTGACGCTCCCCACGCTGGTCTGTTTACTCATCCGCTTCCTTCCCTGGACAGCGAGGCGGAGAGTGGACACCACATCTGGTCCGGCCCCCCGCGATGTCCCCCGTTCCCAGGCGGGGCCGACATCCACCTGGGGGAGCCGGGGACCCTGGGAAGCCGAGAAGGGGGGCCACCCATGGGGGCCAGCATTGGGGGTTCCCGGGGGAGGCCAGGGGAGGGACGTGACCATCACCCGCTCTTGCACTGGCCCCTGAAACAGGCCTGGTTTCGGGGTTGGAGGGGGGGGGAGGGGTGGGCACTTGCTCTGCCCGCGGCTGACCGGGCCGGGTGGAATTTTCGGCACCTCATACAGTGCTCAGAGCCTGTGAGGCGATTCCTGAGCACCGCCAGGTATGACTCCCCAACCCAAAGCAAATAAAAGCAAGTTTTCATTTCTCCCGAGAGGAAGATCACAGAATACTAGCGAGGCGGGAGAAGCCTTGGCTCCGTGCCAGCGCCGTCGCGAAATGTCTGAAAGGCGTTTTAGCGGAGGAAGGTCTGCACCCGAGCCCGGGAGCCACGCGGGGTGGCGGAGGGGAGCGGCGGCCTCTACAAGCACTCACCAGCGTCTGCACGATGGCGTGGTTGGTGGCGTTCATGTAGGAGTTGAGCGGGAAGGCGCACTCCCCCTCGCAGTAGTAGGCCGCGTAGCCTTCGGGCGCGATGATCCAGTCCTGGAGGGAGACGGGCAGCCGTGAGGGTCAGGGCCACTTGGCCACCAAGTGTGTGCCCGGGACCCGCCTCCTGCCCCAGACTCTCCCCGGCAGCCCAGAGGCTGAGCCCCAGGTGACCAGCAGGAAGCAAAGTGAGCGAGCCTGGGGGGCGTCCAGCATGGACCTGCTCATGGCCACATGGCAAAGGGCGGGGGCAGCAGCTCGGCCAACTCGGTGGCCACCCAAACCCAACGGCCTGGAAGGGCCCAGGTGAGAGCAGGTGACTGTGTGTGGCCTGGACCATGGGCTGGCACACGCGGGTGGCATTAAAGGTGCTCCCGCAGCTGCCCCTGGGGTTGGGGGCTTTGCTCCATGGACCCTGAACGGCCGACGCCCAAGAAGGAGACATGCTGTCCCCATGTGCTCAGTGACACTCTGAGCGATGACCTGACCGGGCATCGCTCAGGGTCTCAGTGCCGTGGCCCCACGCCTAGAGGAGGTCCAGGTGCGGTGGAAGCACCTAGAGCGGGTTAGAGGAATCTCACGGCCCTGCAGGATTCCACCCCACCAGTGTGCCACGCTATCTAATATGGCTCCAGAGGGGGCAGCCATGTTCCTGTCACACGTCCCCACCCTAGCACCCTGATTGGCTCAGGAATCAGCACCTGACCTACGCTGCACCAATCAAGGACAGGCAGGGGGTGGGACCAGCTTTCCAGGAGGGAAGACTCCCTTGTGCAGCAGGACTAGGTGGGGATGTCCGTCTCCGAAGGGCGGGAAGGGGGGTTCAGTGCTGAAGTGTTTGGGGTCCACATTCTACCCCAGGGTTTCATCACACATTCCACTGACCCTTACCCCAACCCTGTCCCCGGGCAGGCCTCCTGATGAGGCAGGGCTCAACGCTGCTGTCCTCCCCGGGGACCCGGGGGTCCAGGGCCAGCCCCGTCCCCCCTTACCTGCCAGCCCAGGTCGCGGAAGCTGACGTAGAGCTCGTGCTTCTTGCAGGCCTGCCGCTGGTCACTGCTGCTGTTTTCTGCCCGGCGGAGAGGTGGAGGCACAGAAGGGGCGGGGGTGGGGGGAGGAGACAGCACAGGGATCTCAGCGGGAGGCACTCGGCCCCTTGGGGCAGCAGGCGCCCTCAAGGGCCAGCAGTCTCCCTCCTCTCCCCCATAATGCCCCCCTCACTGGGCCTCTGCGGCCAGAGGGGCACAGAGAGGGCAGGGGACACCCTCTGCCTCCTCCCTCTGCGATCCCCACCCCTACACACACACACACACACACACGCACGCACGCACGCACGCACGCACGCACGCGGCGCGCGCGCACACACACACACACAAAGCTACTGGGAAACAATGGAGCTCCCTGTCCCCATACACACACACTCACACACACACACAGAGTCACTGGGAAGCAAGGGAGCTCCCTACACACACACACACACACACACACACACACACACACACACACACACGGGAGCTCACATACACACACACGCACACACACACCCAGACACACCCACAGAGCCACTGGAAAGCAAAGGAGCTCCCTGCCCCAATACACACACACACAGACACAGACACAGACAAACACACACAGACACACACAAAACACACAGAGCCGTTGGGAAGCAAAGGGGCAGAAAGGCCAACCCCGCTGCCCTCCAGAGAAACACGCGGCCAAGATTCCTTTGAAGAGCCAAATTAGGCTCTGCGTAAGCACACAAGGTTTGCAGCCGTTTGGGTCGGGACCCGAGCACTTGTAAACGTGGAGAAATGTCGCCCTCGTTCTCATCTGCTCCCTCTTTCTCCTCCGCCGTCCCTGCACAACCCGCCCTCCACCTCGCAGCTGGAGCGTTGGTTCCTTCACTTCTCTCACGCCACCAAACCTTTCCCAAGTCTCACCCCTGCCCTGGGCCTCTCTAGCCTGCGCCTGAACCACCAGCCTCTGAGCCCCAGTATTACCAGTTTTCTTTCTGCTGCATAAACAGGCGCCCCGCCTGCCCCAGGGCCCTTGCACAGGCTGCCTCCGCTTCCTGCCCTGCTCCTCCCCTTGACCTTCCTGTCTGCTTCCCCGTGCACAGTTGCGTCCTGCCTGCCTCTTCAGAAATGTCGCTTGAGGCTGCAGTTGATTCCTAGAGGCTGGGGTCCCAGATGTGAACTAAACATACAAATAAAGGACAGGTCCGTGCCTTGGCTTCTGTCCCTCGTCAGGGCCCCTTGGGCCTCGGTGCCCCAGAGAGCAGTGGGTGGAGGCACTGGGTGTGGGCAGGAGGGAGAGGGAAGGTCGGGGCAGTCAAGGGGCCATTGCCAACTTGGCCTCCTTTGGGGACATCCAGGTGGGCTTTGGATCCTTGCAGGAGGTCCCGCCCCCCACCTGGTTGGCGTAGAGCCCACAGCAGGACGTGCAGCTCAGCCCGCGCGGGTGGGTCCAGTTAGGCTCCTGGGACCCAATGCGGCCAACAGGACACAGGTGGAAGCTTCTAGAAGGCGTCCTCACTCCTCGGGGGCCCTGGGAAGAGACGCCTGTCTCTTCCCACTGCTGCCGGGGACAGGAACGTGCTGATGGCTGCAGGCAGCTCAGCCGTCACTAGGCCGGGGCGCACGGGGACGGGGACGCAGCCCTGCCGCCCCTCACCGCTGCCCACCCAAGTGGGACCTCCGTGTCTGGAACCAGCCGGAAGTGCTGCTCCCACTCCAGGCCAGGCCCCTGCCAGACCCTGCCTCCCCCGCCTCGTGGGCCCCCTGGTGTGCAGAGCGGGAGGAAGAGTCTACACCCGCCCAGGGCAGCCTGGGCACTCAGGTGTGCTCAGAGCCCGGATCACGCACCCCACCTCCCCAGGGGGTTAGACTAGATGGGGCGGGGCAGGGCTGCCCCCCCACCTCCGACCCCTCAGCTTCCTGCTGTTCCCCCCAGAATCCTGCCCACGGGCCGTGTTCCTCAGAGCCACTCGCCCTGGGTGGGTGTGGGGGGCTGAGTCCTGCCAGCTCAGGCGCCCCTGGACAGATGCCCGCTGTCCTGCACCTCTGGTGGGCAGCCACGCGGGGACCCCCGTGGAGAGCAGTGGCGGGAGGGGGGGAGGTGGGGAGGGGCGGGCAGGCGAGCAGGGCGGGAGGGGAGGGCGGCCCGTGTGGCGGGAGCTTCCCAGCTCTTCCTGCCGCGCCTGGGGACAGACGGACACACGGACGGACGAGCAGGAGGCTCTGGGGCAGGCACTCAGGTGGCACTGGGAGGTCCGAGAACTGCCCCCAGGAGGAGCCCCCTGTGTGAGGAGACACGCAGGGAGCAGCTGGGGGCCCCTCCTGCACCCCCAGTTTGAGTGGCTCCAGGGACAGCACGGGGGGGGGCAGGCAGGGGGAGACGAGGAGAAGGGGCGAGGACCCCAGGCTCCAGAACCTTCCAGGCGTGAGACAGGGGTAAACAGGACCCCAAGGTGGGCCGGGGGAGGGGAGGGGAGGGCAGCAGGAAGGGGGCGGGGGTCAGGGCAGGGGGTGTGACGCTTCGAGGGAGACCTGGACGCCCAGCAGCCCCTCACAGGCAGGGACCTGCAGCCACAAGGAGGTAGAGGGGAGGAGGGGTGGGGTGGGCGGAGCAGCCGGGACCGGACAAAACCCGGGGCTGGACTGGGCCGGAGGGGCTTCCCCTTTCGAGCTGGCTCTGCTGCCGCTCAAGGAAACGCGGCTGATGGGGCCGGGGGCTCTGCGGTCCCACTCAGGAGCACGCGGGGGGTCCCAGCCTCAGCCGGGCCCCAGCAAGGACCCTGCCGATTGCCGCCCCCAAGGCCCACCAGGCGGGCACAGAGGCTGCTCGGGAGCACTGTGTGTGTGTGTGTGTGTGTGTGTGTGTGTGAGCACTGGGCCCTCCGCCGCCCGACCCCACACCCCGCATGGGGGGCCCCGGAGAGCGTCGCTGGAGCTCAGGTGTCACGTGACCCTCTCAGGACCAGCGAGGATGGGAAGAGGGTCCACATGGCAACCCCCGGTCCACATGCACGACAGGATGCTTCTGCCGGCCACCTCTGTGTACCCTGGGCCAGGAGCAGCAGCCACTGGTCATGACTGGTCAAAACCGGTCACAACCAGTATGGGACGCAGCCCCTCTGCCCAGGCATCTGTTGAGTGGGAGAAGGAAGTGGAGGGGCGTCGTTTATCACCCCTGAACCACAGCCTCTGGGGAGCAGCTGAGGGCCCCAAGCACCACGGTGGCACCAGGCCGCCCTACACACAGGCTGCGGGTGAGAGGCTGGCCGGGAAGCAAGCTCCCAGCCCCGGGCACGCGGGCACGCGCGCGCACACACACACACACACACACACACACACACACTCTCTCTCTCTCTCTCACTTGTCCTCCCGCTGTTCATCGATTTGGTCGAGCAGGCCCAGTAACGTCTCCATCGTGAGACTTGTTGTTACTGTGTTTGGCATATCGAATTCATCACGGGGAGCTTGCCAGGCTCTGCCGTGCGGGCGAGATACTCTCAGTAGCTTGCTGGGCTCTCCGAGAGGGGCGGAGGAATCGAACCCGGGTCAGCCATGTTGGCTGCGTGCAAGGCAAACGCCCTCCCGCTGTGCTGTCGCTCCAGCCCAGCCCAAGTATTAACAACTAACTATTATTAGTTCCCACAGCTAATAAAGGCACAACTTCTGCCCGAAGCAGGGTCAGTCAAACGTCACATGATTCTGGCCCAGAGGATACTTCGTCTGAAAGGAGAAGAAACGGTCAGATCCTAAAATAGCACACACGTGCAAATATTCGCACACACGCACACTCACACACAGTGTGTACGCACATGTGGAAACGGGAAAACATACATGTCCATATGTGCACACACAATGAGACACACACTGGGCACACCCACACAAACGCACAATCACATGCACACGACGCGCATGAGGCCAGAGGCTCACAGACACACATACGCACGCACACATCTGCGGGCCCTATGTGTCCACACACCTGTCCACCCACGTACATGCCCACGAGTCTCCGTGTAAGGTGGAGTCTTGCCGGGGGTTGGTGACCACGCAGGGGACCATCAGGCGTCCGGCAGGGACAGGGTCACTTCCTGCCCGCCACAGGGAAGGCCTCTACGGCTCCCTCGTCCAAGTGTCCCCTCGCTGCCCCGCTCAGGGCAGCCACAGTGACCTCCACTCACTCCCCACCAACACCCGCACTCAGAACCCCGCAGAGGTTTGCCTGGGGGCAGCTCGGGGGCCAGCTGGTCCTCCCAGACCTGCGCTCCACCCACCCCTCACCCGAGAAATGCAGCAGGTGGGTAGAGTCACTCGGGGTCACCCCCCACCCCAGGCCCCAGAAACCTGGTCTGTGCCTGAGTTTCTGTGAGCCTGGCACGCCGTACGCGGGCCCTCGGGGTCGGGCTCCAGAAGTGGGTCTGGGAGCCCCCCGCCCCGGCCTGCTGCCGATGCCCGCGGGCCCCTTACCGGCGACATTGGCCACCCGCAGGGCCTCCTGGTTCTTGGGCGGCTTGGAGCGGTTCTGGCTGCGCTGCTTGGCCCCTGTGGAGCGGGCGCTGCGGAGGTGGACCTCGGTGGCCTTGAAGAAGGCCACCATGAAGGGCTGCTTGTTCTGGGGCCCGTGCCGCCCAATGAGGCCCGCCAGCTTGGGGTTGACGCTCTGCCCTGCACGGGAATAGTGAGACTCAGCGACAGCGGGTCACAGGGGCAGGCGGGCAGCGGGTCACGGCTGCGATGGACAGGAGGGTGGTGGGCCCGTCACCCACTCACTCACGCACCAGCCACATGTCTGGGCCACACTCTCTTGAGGCCGGGGCATTCAGGGGACCAGCGGGAACCACAGCAAACACCCGCGGGCACCCAGCAGGGGAGCTGGCTTGGACACCCACGTGTCAGGTGACTGGCTCCCTGTGGGGACCACAGGGTGACTTAGGGAGGAGGCAGCCCAGGAGGGCTGGAGGTAGGTGGGGACACAGAGGAGACAGACCTGTGATCCGGCCACTCTGCCTCCTGGGGACAGTGTCCCCCACACAGCCCAGAGCCCAGGACCGACCTCGCTGCCAAGGTCTCTGCCAGAGGAACTAGGGATGTGGGGCGGGGGGGGGGGGGCCTGCAGGCGGAAGGACCAAGCACGAGGGTGGCTCAGAGCTGGAGCGCCACCAGCAGACCCACAGCGCGGGCAGGGGACAGCCCCGGACAGCAGGCAGGGCGGCCACCTGGTGGGGACCAGAGCAGAGCTGGCCGAGGAGCCGCCCAAGACGCGATCTTGTCCTCAGAATCTTGCTCTGAGCCACACGGGACAAAGGGGAGGCAGAACGAACGAACAGGAGGCCCGTCCCCTCGGCTGCCTTGCCCAGGGGTCCGGGCACAGCGTGCCCACAGGCTCGTCGCATCTGGCGGGACGAGTATTCTGAAGAAAGACAGAGCGAGCCATGGACACCACACCTGTCCGCCTCGCGACAGCGACCCCTGAGGGAGGACCCCCGGCCCGGCCATGTGGAGCAGGAGTGGACATGGGAGGGCGGGAGGGGTTGGGCTGTGAGGAGCTTCCTGAGCCCCTGGGCACTTCCATATCTGGAGCAACTTCCCGGGGACTCCCAGGGGCCTCCCTAGCCCCCACGTGCCCACCGCGGGCTCCCAGGGGTGTTTAACAAGGAGCGTGCTCGGGCCGCTTCCGCATTCCTCAGCGGGGTTTCCCCGAGGTCAGCCGTCTCTAACTCGGTGAGTCCATAAACGCCAAGCCCCGAGGAACCAGGCTGCCCCCCTTGGAGGGTCTCAGGGCAAAATCAAAAAGCCTCACGGGGGGGGTGGGTGGGGGGGCTGGAGCAATAGCACAGCAGGGAGGGCGTTTGCCTTGCATGCGGCCGACCTGGGTTCGATTCCCTGCATCCCATAGGGTCCCCTGAGCACCTCCAGGGCTAATTCCTGAGTGCAGAGCCAGGAGTAACCCCTGTGCATCACTGGGTGTGACCCAAAAAGCCAAAAAAAAAAAAAAGTCTCACAGGCAGCTGTGCTGGCCCCAGCAGACACTGTGGCTGGATGTCGCTGGGGGCCGCGGCCCAGACACAGGGGCCGCACCAAGGGGGCCACGAGCGGCAATACTGGGGCTTCAATTGCCTCCTCCGTGAAATGAAGCGGACGGTGTGTATTCCAGTGTCCCTCCCTCCCCCGGGCACCCAGCACCCGCTTCCCACGCCAGCTGCCACGTTGTCCAGAATCCCCCCCGCCCTCGCCTTCATGTCCTGAGTCAGCATCTGGGAGCAACGGGCTCAGGGCCGGGCACACGACGGCCCGACTCAACCAACAAGAGGAGAGGCATCCTGGAAGCTTCCGGAAAAGGGGCCTGCCACTCTGGTGCCCAGGACTGGCTCGCTCTCTCCCCCGGACGGGGCTGAGGGAGGAGGGATGGACGCGGTCCTGGGAACATTGACCATCTGGAAACCCCGAGAGGGCAGAGACACAGATGGGGGCTCTGTGATGTCCTGAGCTGCTGGATCAAACCCATCCTGAAGCCCAAGACTCGACCAAGTGGAACAGTTTACTCTGCTCGAGGGGGGCTGCTCATTTCTGAGGGGCTCAGAGCAAGGGCAGGCATGGACAGGTCCTTGCTTCTGGGCTGGCCGAGGACTCTGGAGAGCCACAGAGCCACTATGGTCCCCCTCACACCCTGACGGGTCATGAGGGGCAGGAACAGGACGGGGACGCCATGGACAGTGGGGGCTGGCGCTGAGCAGGAGGTCTGGGGGGGGAAGGGGCTCACAGTACTCACACAGGACGAGGTGACAGGAGGCCAGTGACAGCGGCCAGGCCCAGGGACAGCGCTGCCGCGGGCCACCCCGCTACCCACCCTGGGCTCTGGACAAACAGGAAGTGAAGCAGCCTTAGGCAGGGCAGCCAGGGGCTCTGGGTGGCCACCACAGGGGGCCCCACAGCCCCGGCCCCCCCGCGGCCTCAACCCCATCTGGGTGGAGCTGGGACAGGACCGGATGGTGATGGGCGCAGGAACGGGGGGACATGGAGGGACAGGGAAGGGGCCGACAGCTGAATGCAGGGAGGACGAGGGGCACCCCGTCCAGTGTGGGGGTTCGGAGGGTGTGGGGCAGCCGGGGAGGCCAGAGGTCAGGGGATGAGGAGGCCAGTGATGGCCCGCTGGATCCGAGGGGGGCTCCCCCGGACAGCTGATGTCCCTCTCTCCCTGGGACACAAGTGCGCGTCCCCAGGGCGAACACCCGAGGGCACAGAACCAGGTCTTGCCGGGTCAGCACTGGATTCACCCGTGGGTGGGTCCGTGGGGCCACAGAACGAGGCCCCTGGTCAAGCAGCCCTTCCCGCACCCATGTGACCCGCTGACGGCCAAGCCCCGTCCCGCCCACCAGGCTCACAGATTTTCACGGTTCGTGGTGCAGCTCTTGGGCCGAGCTGGGCCGTGGGGAGGTTCTCCCGCGTGGGGCTGGACGGGCAGAGTCCGGCGCCCTCCCCTGCCCGATGCCAAGCCGGGGTGGCGTGTGCGGGTGGCCGGGGCTGCGGGACCGGGGAGATGGCCAAGCTCAGAGCCAGCGGCAGGCCTGGCATGCGGGGACTGTCCCTGATCCAGCCCAGGGGACGCACATCTGCCAGCCAGCCAGCCCGTAAAGACCATCCTAGTGCTCTGGACAGAAGAAGGAGCCCAAGACTGGGGTCCCCTGGCCACTCCTGTGACCCGGGGTCCCGCTGGCGGCAGGGCTCCCTGCTGCCTGGGTCTTGTCTACCAGGCGCTTCCGTCCCTGGCAAGGACACAGTGGGGCAGCCCGGCCCAGGGGATCGCAGTGACCCCCAAGCCCAGTGCCCCGTGGCCACACGCCAGGGAAGATCCGCAAGGGAAGGCCAGGGTGGGGCCAGGAGACAGCACTGCCCCGGCCCTGGTGTCCCCTCCTGGCAGGACCTGGGCACGGGCCCCGCACCGGCCACAGATGCTCCGTCCATCCTCAGCCGCGTGCCCACCTCCAGGCCAGGGGGCGTCACTCGCCCCGGAAGCAGATGAAGGGTGAGGAGCTGCTCACGTGCCCAAGATGCAGTGGCCACGTGGACCCCCAGCTGTCCCTACTGGAGCCCGAGCCAGGACAGCCTGCAGTGGGGACACAGGAGCACGACCCGTCCACCCCCACACCACTGACACCAGTGAATGCCAGCCCTGGGGGTCGGACGGGCGGCAGAGGGTCTGTGCAGGGGGCCCACGGGGCTTCTTGGGGGGAGGGACAGCAGGTGGGCTCCAGCTGGGGGAGGAGCACCAGCCTACGGCGTCCTGGGTGGTCCAGGGGGACATCTGGAGGCCCCGTGAGCGGGAGGGTTCGAGACATCTGTGCCTCGTTAGAGGGCCCCGCGCGGTGGGAGGCCGGGAGTGGACAAAGGCCCTGCTTCCAGCAGCCCCCAGGGAGCCCGGGTCCGGGAAGTGCCCCCGCCCCAGCCTGTGTCCTCTCCTCCAGGTGGACAGATGCGTGGGCGTGGCCCGGTCAGGGGACAGCTCCACCGATGGCAACGCGGGCAGGAGCGCGGCTGCCTGGCCAACCGTCCAGGGCCCGTGCGGCATCCCCAGGACAGGATGGGCGCAGGAATGGCCGGACACTGCGTTGCCACGCTCGGACGGCAGCCCCGGGGTTGGGCCGGGCTGCCCGGGGGGTGGCCAGGAGGCGGCACCATCCCGGTCCCGGGCCCGTGCCGGGCTCATCCCCGGTTACAGCTGGTGGCAGCCGGTCCTCGCCTGCAGCACGGCGGGTGGCGAGCGCACCCCCCCCCACCCCCACGGGGACAGAGGCGTAAAGGGCTTCCTGCACCGCAGCTGCAGGGGTGGGGCGGTTCAACTGGTCACTGGGATGAGCTCATCCGCCCTCGAACCGCCCTGGGAGCTGGAAACTATTATTAAGCCCATTTTCCAGATGAGGAACGTGAAGTGACTCAGCCCGGTCACGCATGCGGGTGGCCGCGGGGGCTGGGGCCGAGCCTGGCTCCAACCATTAGGCAGCACTGCTTCACGGAATGGCAGAGGGTGGGGGGGGGATGCGAGGAGCAGGGAGACCCGAACTTGAGGGGAGGACAGGGATGGCAGGCTGAGGTTGGGGGGGGGCAAGACTGGGTGTTACTCAAGACCAGTGAGGGCGGGACTGGCAGAGTCCCTGTCCTGTCTCCGATCTATCCCCAATGAGGAGGCGGTTACACCCCCATCCCCAGCGGCTGTGACACTAACCTGCCCCCAGACAGACACAAGGAGGCCGGCCAGCAGGACAAAGGCTCTGAGAAGTCCTGCAGAGACAGCGCGGGGCTCCTGCCAGCAAGATACCCCCTGGGAGTCCTCGGCGCCCCCACACACACGCAGGGCTGTCCCGCGGGTTTCCGGGAGCACTGAGGATGCTGGGGGCGCAGGGGCACCGAGTGTGGCAGCGAAGGGGCAGAACCGTGGCCCATAGCAGGCAGGAGGGGGCCCTCGGGGGCCCCACGCAGAGACAGAGCCGCAGCCCCGGTGGCCTGGGAGCAGGACGCAGGCACAGGCCGTGCGAAGGGCGGGAAGAGCCGAGGGGGGGGGCTGAGACAGTGCCTGAGGGCGCAGGGGAGCACACCCTCGGGCGCGGGAGCACTGCCCGGCCCCTGAGCACCACTGCAGATGCACCCTCAGACCCTGGCACTGAACTGCCGCCCCCGTGGGCCAAGAATCGCCAGAAGGGGTCTTAGGCTCCGGAGCACTGCCTTTGGGAGCCCCCCGAGAAGAACAACGAGAAATTTGGGGAGATTCTGGCTGCTCCAGAAACCAGGAGGGCGGGGGGTGAGTGGGCACAGCCCAGCGGCGTGACGTCACTCCCGGGGGCGAGTCTGGGGGCCTGAGTGGACAAAGGAGGGGCTGGGGTGGCTACTGCTGGGGTGCAAGGATGCCGTCACGGCCCCCCCATCCCATCTGTCAAAGACACGGTTAAAGCCCTGGAGCTGGGGGGAGGGCGGAGGACCACGTGGCCCGACAAGGCTCTGACAGCAGGTGACCCCGAGGAGGGGCCAGCAGGGGCTCTGCCCGTGCGAGTGGGACCCACCGTCGGCCCCGCGCGCCTCCCGGGCTGGCACCTACCGTCCAGGGTCTCCACCGACAGCTGCAGGCCCAGGTTGTGCCGGGGGTTGACCACCCAGTGGTTGCTGGTGGCCGTGATGTCGAACACCAGCCAGCCCTCCTCCGAGGCCCAGAGGGTCCGGCTGTCCAGCAGGAACAGGTCGGAGTCCCTGCAAGAGAGGGGAGCGGGGGACATTGGCTTCTGCCCGAAAGCCTGGCCGGGCAGAAGGGAGGTGGGGGGGGACAGGAAGTGGCCGTGCCATCCCCAGAAGGGGCTCACTGGGCTCAAAGACCCCAGAGCAGCTGCGTGGGGAGCAGACGAGGTATCAGAAGGGTCTGTCCCTCCTTTACGAGAGATTCACCCCTGCCGGGGGCTGCTCCTCTCACCCACACCCCAGGGACAGAAGGAGAAACGGTGGCCCAGTCGGTCACACACGACGAGCCCAAGGCCCGTGGGCGGGAGGCGGAACCAGAGGACACTGCCCGGTGCCCCATGGGGCGGCTTGGCTGTGGAGCCTCCACATACACATATGCGCACATATACATATGCACACATGTACACACATGCACTCGCACACACATGCACACAGGTGCACAAACACGCACACATGCCTACACACACGCTCCGAGCCGCCAGTCCTCACTCCTGCAGATCAACACACAGACCCCCGGGCCCAGCGAGAGCGTCAGGCTCGTTCTCGGGAGAACCTGACCCAGGACGTCAGGCGGGTCGGAGGACCTTGGGGTCAGCCCCCAGGACAGGACGGGGGTCCGACAAAGGACAGGCCTGGGGGGCCACCGACACCCTCCTGCTCTTGGGCCCCCTCGGGACCCTCAGCCAAACAGGTTGGTGGGGCAGGCAGCGGGGTCTGAGGCTGCGGCACTACTGGGCGCTCGGGGCTGGGACCCTCCAGGATCAAGCCCATCCCCCTCTCAGACCAACACCCCCAGGGAAGGCCGCATCCCCCACTGTCCCCCAGAAGCTCCCTTCCTCAGTGACACGAGTTGTGCGGGCCTGGAGTGCCCCGCCGGCCCTGCGCACCTGCTTGCTGGCTGGCCCGGCCCCCCGGGTGGGCACCGAGCCCTCTCACAGGGCCCAGAGCCTTGGAGCTGGGACCCCACGGGACTGTCCCCCAGAAGCTGCTGATGAACCAGAAGCCGATCACCCCGTCCCCAGTTCCAAAACTCAAACTCCCCCAAAGCCCGTGACCCCAGCCCGAGGGGGCGGGGGCTAATGTTTAACCACAGCCGGGATGGGGCCTGCAGGGACACGCATGACCGGCTGACACAGCCGGGAGGGGCGGGAGGGACCCCGCAGCCAGCACCTGGCAGCTCCCTGCCCAGCCTCCCGCCTCCCGCGGCGCGCAGTCCGTGGGAAACAGGGTTCCCAGTCACCCGCGCCAGGGCTGGGCCGGCGCCTCGTCCCCGGACCCGAGTCCGTCCCACGGCCGCCCCCAGGGAAGGGGAGGTGACTCTGAGGCCAGGGAGCAGGGGGCTGGGGCCAGGGACGTCTTGCTCCGGTGGTGCCCTCCAAGCTGCCCCTGTGGGAGGGGTCCCGACAGCAGAATAGACCGTGCGGACGAACTGGGGTCCCCGGGGCGGGGGCAGAGTCTGGATTATGAAAGGACAAGAGTCCCCGCCAGTGAAACGGAGTGTGGGGGGAGGGAGGGATGGGACAGTGTGGTCCCTGCGGCCAGTCAGGCTGTCAGGAGCCCCGGGAGCAGGTGGCCTGGCGGAGGGAGTTCCCGGCTGAGCTGACCCGGGCAGGAGGGGGGCTGCCCCGTGCTCACCCTCACAGGATGGGGGCAGGCCCGGAGGACGCACCAAGGGAGCCAGACTCGGGGTGCTCCCGGGGGACCTTGGAGGTGCCCTAGGGAGCACCTCCAAGGAGGGCCGGATAGGCAGGGTCACAGGGCAGGGGGGCCGGGGTCACCGGGTTGGGGCACAGAACTTGGGAGGTGCAGGGGGCAGCAGGCACTGACCACTGCAGGCCCCTGGGTCAGGGCAGCACAGGTGTGAAGCGAACAGTGGACAATGGGGGCTCTGGTGGGGGCGCGGGGTCCCAGCTGACCTGCACCGGGGGCTCAGGTGGTCTGTCCCGGGAGGGTAGTTTCACTCGCACATTGACCAGACGCAAGCCCCTTTATCGCCAGCTCGCGCTAGGGTCCGAGTCACATCCAACACAATGGAGTCTTGACAAGGACCCGGACTCGGAACTCTAAGTAGTTTATACAGGGTTTGGTTACATAATAGCATTTTTTCCAGAACTGGCAACATGTTTCTAGTTCTTCTCCCCGACCAGTCTCCTGAGCTTAGGGACCAGCACTGTCTCCAGTTCTTGGTCCCTGTCGGGGACTCCACTCCCTCGGCCCTCTCTGCTTGGTGGCCACCACTGCCCGTGCCCCCTACTCCGACAGGCCGTTGCCACGGGGCGGGTCATCTGTCCAGGGTGATAGCGTTCTCTGAGAAGTCGGGACTTTCTGATGGGGGAAACCGAGACTCAGGCCTGCTGAGTTTCGGTCTTGGAGTGGAAAGGGGCCACCGGGGTGCAGCCCTGCACCCGGACCACAGGGCGGCTGCAGGCCAAAGGGCCTCCGCCAACACCCGGCCCCCAGGCCTCACCAGGCCCCCCGCCTGCCCGCCCGCCCGCCCACGCACAGGGGATGCCCTGCCTCCCGCCAGGCGCTCTGCGGGTCGCATCCTGCCCCGTCCCCGCCCCGTCCCCGGCTGTCTCTGTCCCACCCCCGTCCCTGTCCGCAGCGACCCCTGGGCCCGGTGCCAGGCGGCCGAGGCTGCTTTGGAAAGTGCTTTCTTTAGAACGGGCGGCCAGACTCCGTGCGTCTAAATCGGTCTCCGCCTCTACAGCTTCCGCCGGGGACCCCCGTCTGGGTCTGCCCCCCACCCCCACCCAGCACGTCAGGAGGGACAGGCCAGGCGGGGGTGGGGACAGCCGGTCCAGCCTGGGCCTCCGTCTGCCGCCAGCGAGCCCAAGGGCAGGAAGTCTCAGAGTCCACCTGCCCACAAGGTGCCCACGAGGCAGATGCGGGCCCCTTCCTGGCCTGCTGGTCTCGGGCACACAAAGGCTCTGACAAGGCCTGCTGCAAGGTGCCCCAGCCGGGGGTGGAGGGAGGGCACGGGGCCCCCTGCAAACATGGCACACCTGCCGGGGGTCAGGACTGCAAGGATACACCTCAGCTTCAGGGTGGGGCCTCTGGGCTGCTTGAGGGGCCACTGCCCAGAGCACACCCACCCGGGACGACGCGATGGTGTGACCCGGGGCAACTGGGCTGCAGGGGTCCCAGCGTCGGGGTCTCAGCCCACCATGGCAGGATCCAGCCCTGGGGAAGCCACCCACCCGCTCCGGCCCTGAGCCTGGAGGCAGCTCTGAGCACCAGAGTCTGAGCGACACACACCGAGCCGGGAAGCCCCCGAGGAAGTGGGGGGGGGGGCTCAGCTCTGGGCGACAGTGCTCCCGGGTCAGAACCAGCCAAGACGGACCAGGCCTTCACGCTCTGGACGCAACGTCCACGTTCCCGGGGGCCGGAGCCCAGGCTCAAGGGCCTTTGAGTGTGGGAACCCCACATTGGAGCCCCAGCACTGCAAGCGTGCACCACTCAGGGAGCCACAGAGCACTGCAGCAGGAGTAGCCTGAGCACCAGGTACGGTCCGTCGGTCCATCCCACCAAAAAAGGAAGAAAAAGGGAAAATCCCCTAACGTGAGGGACGAGAGACAGGACAGCAGGGGGGATGTTTTCCCGGCACAGGGCTGCTGGGTCCCATCCCTGGCCCCACATAAGGGTCTCAGCTCACCAGAGTGATCCCCGAGCACAAGCCAGGAGGAGTCAGCCCTGGGCACAGGGCCGGGAGTGAGCCCGGAGCACAGAGTCAGGAGTCAGCCCTGAGCACAGAGCCAGGAGTGATTCCCGAGCACAGAGCCAGGAGTCAGCCCTGAGCAGAGAGTCAGGATTCAGACCTGAGCACAGAGCCAGGAGTCAGCCCTGAGCACAGAGTCAGGAGTGATACCCAAGCACAGAGCCAGGAGTGATCCCCGAGCACTGCCAGGTGAGTGGCCCAAAAAACTGTTTCCAAATCCCCTGATGTGCCCCATAATAATGAGGGAAGAAAAAGGGAAGGTGTGAACAGCTGCTAGCTGGGGGGCAACGACACCTCCCGGGGCCTCACCTGCCTTGTCTGCGGCCTGCACCCCCCCCCCCCCGCCCCAATGTTTGGGGTCTCTGCTCTGTCCCCTGCTGGGTGAGAACTGGTCCTCCCTTCACCCCTGCAGTCATGGCCCGCAGCAAAAAGCAGCGGGTGCCAAGGGCCCCGGGGGCAAGAACTTGCCTGCACCTCCAGGGGCCCCCCAGGCCGGGCCAGACCCCGTCTCACTCTTGACACCCCCCAAGGAGCAGAGACGCTTCTGCAAAGGATTGGGGGCCCCAGACTTGAATCCGCCTCCACGTCTCGGCGTGTGGGGCCCCTGCCCCCGAGCAGCCGCCAGTTCATATACTGCGGCCAGTCACAGGCACCTCATGCCACTGCCCCCAGCCTGTATGGCCTGGGCACTGCCGGCCCTGTGGCCACGTCCACCCAAGCAGCTGAGCCACGAGAGGAGACGAGCAGAGGCCGAGGCAGCTCTGGGGGGGGGGGGTGTCAGGCAGACACTCCAAGGGCAGACCCCCACCCTGCGTAGGCCCCCAACCCCTGTTGCCCCCTGCACACAGAACCCAGCAGCCCTGCAATGACCCACGGGGACTGGTCAGCCGAGTCCTTCTGGGATGGCTTCGGGTTCCCTGCAATGCCTGGGTCCCCCTTTCCCTGGTTTGGGGCCCAGAACTCCCAGGAAGCCAGGCGGGGGGTGGGGGTCCTGTCATTCCGAATCCGCCAGGGAGGCCCGGCCGGGACTCTCAGCTCAGCCTGCGGTAAGACAGGGCGGTGCCCGGGGTCCCCCCCGGAGAGGCCGGGCTGGGGGCGGCAGGCGAAGGCTCTCCCGGGCCCACGCTGCCGGGCAGCCCGTCTGGCACGGGGTGTGGGCGGGCCCGGCGCCAGGGACGGGTCTCGGGCTCTGAGACCTTCCCCGGCCGCCCCATTTCCTGCAGCCCCGGGTGAAAATAGCAGGAGCAGAAAGAGGTGGGTGCAACGTCTGTCCCCCCCCCCCCCCCCCCGTGCTGGC